GTGTAATACTGGGAGAATATAGTCTGGTCAGATGAGACCAACATTGAACTGTTTGGATGCCAGAATACACATCATGTTTATTTATGCACATCAAGGCTTTTGTATAAAGTATTAGATAAATTTCAGTAAGCGTGTTCAATACTTTTTCCCTGTGCCATTCCACATTATTACAAATAACTTCATTTCTGGACATTTATGTTTTGATTTCTTTGTATGTATGGATCACTTGGGTTGTTACCGACATCTGGTGAAAATTTCATGTCATTCGCACCTCTAGTAATATATTTACTGAGAAAAATGGTGACGTGTTCAATACTTATTTTATGTGCTTGAAATCTAAAATTTGCTCCAAAGCACTTTCCAACTTGTGTAAATCTACAATTTTATACTGCGTCCGCTCAGGTACAACCTCTGCAGCAAAGACGCACCCATTATAATCAATGAGAACATTTACACTGCGTCCACAGGGTGGCAGCGTGAGCATGGTGGGGCTCAGGTGGACTGTTGGCTGCAGGAAAAGCCAGAACATGAGGCAGAGACAACAGCACCTGAAGCAGAGGAGCAAGGAGAGGAGGACGGAGAGAGGTGGGGGATTTATTCTTAGTGGTAGAGCAGGTTGTGAGATGGTTATTTAAAATATTTCCGTTTTTTTACATCCTACAGGCTCTGAGATGTCAAATAAATATGAAGCTGAGCTTTTGAAAAACTCTGAGACATACCTGTATACCTGCAAAATGGAGGAAAATCCATGTAACTCATGGACAATCTACAACATGTATGAGTTAGATTCATTCTATTTTTTCCAGATGGCAGACCAAGTGTGGTCCAACAGGAAAAGGAACAAGCACAACATTCATATTTTCAAAATGATTCACCAAAGACATTTACATGTGGGTATATTTATACGTACATGCTGTCCAAATGTATCATTCTAAAGTCCTCACACTGGCTCCCTGTAACTCGGAGAGTAGACTTTAAAATATTGTTATCAGTTTATAAATCACTTAATGGCTTAGCACCACAACACATAAAAGATCTGCTGTTGTTGTATCAACCTTCCAGACCCCTCAGGTCTTCTGGTTCTGGTCTGCTGCATCCCCAGAACCAGAACCAAAAAAGAAGAAGCAGCATTCAGCTTCTATGCACCCCAAATCTGGAGCAAACTCCCCAAAAAATTGTAAAACAGCCAAAACTCTAATTTCCTTTTAAACAAGACTGAAAACCCACCTGTTTAAAGTTGCATATGAAACATAATAAACAATCAACATTTTTGATGTGTAACAATAGTATGACAAACTGTAATTCTTCAGTTAACTGTGTGTTCTATGACTTTGGATTTTTTTGTGTTTTTATGATGTAAAGCACTTTGAACTGCCTTCTGTTTCAGAAGCAGATGACAACATAAAGCATACACACAAACGTGTGGATTTTATTTTGAAATGTGGATTTAAAAAAAAAGACAACAGATATGCAGTTTGAACTGTTGTTTTCAGTCCCTCTTCCACAGAATTAACTAATTTGGTCTGACTTCTACATTTATCACTGGATTGCACAATCTCACAAGTCCTGTGCATGCTTCTCACAGTGTTCTTTGCACCAGAGCAGACGCAGTGTAAATCCACTGTAAGTCACCTAGTTCATTGCGCTTTTGCATTGTTCAGAGTATTGACTATTGCTGTCAAATAAGTCCTTTTTATACAATGAGAACCTACTCGCTGCAGTCAGTCTTGATCACTGATCATTTCTTGCAAAAACAATAAAAAGAAAAACTAGAAACTTTTGTGCCTTTTATTAAAAACCACATTGAACAGAATAATTTTGCCTCTCTGTGGATTGGAGAAAATCTACATAGAATTCTAAATTGTAAACATCTTGTATACTTTTATGTAGCTATAGCCTAATCATCCCCAACAAGTGAATGAAACAAATAATTCAAAAACAAAATTGTATGAAACTCCTGACCAGGTCTGTTGGGCTGACTGATGCAAATCAAAATGTCTGTTCTACAAGCTGCACAAGTGCTCGCACCCACACAACAACAACCTGGCAACACTGTGCCATCCGGAACATTTGTACATTTCCTGATGATGGCGGGTGCAGTGGTGGTGGTGGCAGGGCGGGGGCTGATCGCTTCGGTAAAACCGGAGAAACGAAAGTTAAGCAGGCAGATGTGTGGTGGAGCTCACCCTGATGTCACTGAGAGCTGCTGGAAGCAAAGCCTGCAGGTTTTTGTGTCTGCCTTCGCTTCATCCGTAAGTTCATCATCATCATCATTATTATAATAATAATTATTATTATTATAATTATTATTAATTCCTTGGAGTTTACTTTGATCCTGGTTTTATTTTTAGTGACTCTCAGCAGACAGGCAGGACTTGTGCTTTGATATTTTGTTGCTGTAACTCCTGTGGATCAGAGGTCAGAGCCTCCAATGATAAGAGTCGGAGGTTCGATTCCACCTATATTTAAGCTCATATCAGTGTGTCCCTGAGCAAGACATAAACTGAACGCTCTGTAAAGACTCAGTAGCGTGATTTCTTCAGGTTAAATGTATTGTGAAGCAGCTTGCTGTGTAAATGTGTGTAGCCGGGTTAATGAGGTTGGAATCGCCTGCTTGGCTATAAAGTTGCTCTATAAATGCAGTCCATTACCCCCCCGAACATGTTTTATGTCTGTGATGAAACTCCACAATGATAATTAGGAGATAAGCAGCTGTCTTTGTGGGTGTGCCCATGTTTACGTCTGTTTTAAACTGTGCAACTGCGCCACCCTGTGGTTGTTTGTGTCTCGCTGAGCTCACATCATCAGGTTTACTGTGACACTGGTTGTTTTTGATTTGTCCTCACAGTTTATCTGGGTTTAGTCCGGATGCTGATGCTAACTGCGCTTGCCCAATAAACTATCAGCAACCTGAAGGCATCTTGAGATGAGGAGTTGCATCATGTTAATTTATTGTGTTGGTCCGGGCAGGATGGTTACGTCATCTGTAAGAAGGGAGGGGGAGGGTGTTGCTGTTTTTGAAGAAGGTCCTCCTGCACTTGTCGCAGCTTCTAATGGTACAGATGGTCCCAAGACGTTGTCTCTGTTGGACACGTTTGGCCAAAGAATAAAAACGCACAACAGTTTCCATCATGTCCTTATGTATTAATTAAAAATAACGCCTAATTATTTTACTGCAATTAACAGCACAAACTTTTCATACCAGCTGTCATGTACGGTGGTGGAAGGATGATGGTTTGGGCTTGTTTTAAAGCCACAGGGCCTGGATATCTTGTAGTTATCAGTTTGAAAGTGACCATCTTCTGTTATCAAAGTAGTTTTAAGTGAAACGTGAAGTTGAGGAGGGGAAAGCCCTGGCACGTGGGAATCACATGACAACTACCCAGAAAAACCGTAACCTGGGAGGCGACAGTTCTTACCCTGCACATTAAAAACTATAAAAAAAAAAAAAGAGAAATGGAACAAGAGGGAAGCCTTGTTACAAACAGTCATGGGCCAGGTCTGGTGTCAGGCTGACAAGTGGTTTGTCAACAGGATGTGGGCCAGGTCTGGCAACAATGGCACTGTTTTAAAGATGGTATAGTTTATTTTTGTGTTGCTGGCCCAGGCATGGACCACCTCTGCCAAACCACATATAGGCCATCAAGGGGCCGTCATTCTTTGTGGGCCAGAACTGGGCCAGACATTTTTTTTCCCCACATTTTCATCAGTTCTATCAGGAAAAAAAGTTTAATACTTACAGAGAAAATAGACCTGAAACTGGAATCAGGGTGAAACTGCAGACAAGAAATTGAAGTATTTGCAAATAAAATGGTTAGTCATCAGTTTGGTATGTCAGTGTGAGCTCCTGGACTAGATAATGATTTACACAGTAACAACACGGCTTAAAGGTCAAATAGTGTAACTTTTCTAATATAAAGGAATGGCTGCACAACGGTTCATGAAGATAGTTCATCCCATGAAAGAAAAAAAATTAAGAGTCTATGGTAATTTCGCCCCTTAAAACTATGAACAGAAATATTAGGACAGCATTGAAAGCAGAGTGGTTCTACTTAATTAGTAAAACCTGTCTGATGTTTTGCTTCATCCTGTTCTGGAATCCCGACACAACAATTCCCTATAAAACAATTAAAAACCTATCATTCCATAAATAAATGCATATCGCCCGCCGCCCTTCATGCCAGAGTTTTAGACGAGGATCTCATGTTGATAAATTATAAGGCTGTAACTGTTTGAGTTAAATCTCAAAAATACCATTATGTGCAGTTTTATACAGTACTGTAATGCATTGTGTTTTCTTACACGATGTGTTAGTATTTGGACTCAGCTACTGCCACACCAAATTTTAGCTAATTATTTGTAAAGCCGACCAAGGCATAGCCATTTTGTGTTGGCTAAGGTAATCAAACAGTTCCAGTCATTTTTAATTGTGTTGACTCCAAAGGTTCATTCAGTAACACCAATAATTAGCTTCTGAACAGCTCATTAAAATCCAACCAATAGATTCTCCGATATTTTGTTAACAGAGTCAACTCTGAACAATAAATGCCAAAGTTCTAAGCCAAGATATATATGTTGTGCTTGAAATATGTGTTACGGGCAGTGCTCTGCTACTACCATACCAAATTGCTGGACAATATGCAGTATATAAAATTAACTGATCTGCAGCCATTTTTGTTGTTTTGTGGTCAATTGGCTGTGGCAGCCATCTTGACTTGGGTTATAGCCATTTTTTGTTTGGTAAGATGATTAATTTGTTGTGGCAGCCATTTTGAATTGACTCCAAAATGTATTTTGTAGTAGATGTTTATCCAGTGATTACTTTCTCATAGTTTTAGTAAAATTTGTTTAATGATTCATGAGATATTTTGTAAAGTACAATACAAATAAATGAACACACCATTGTCTTAGGCAGTGAGTGATTTTTAATAGTTCCTGTGAAAATGACTGGTGTAAGAAGATTTAGAAAAACTAAAGTCAGCTCAAATAATTTGGTGAAACATGTCCTGTTTTTATCTACTGAAAGGAGAAATTAGCTTTAAAGGCACAGTGTGTAGGATTTTGTCAACTCTTTTAGCCGAAATTGAGATAATCACCAATGACAATAATAAAAAACATGTCTAATCATTGCAGACAAAGACCTTGTTTTATTATTTTTACCTTATAAAAAGCTGTTTATATTTCCATGGTTGCGGGTCACCACAACAGGCAGCCGCCATCTTACACCGCCATCTTGTCTACGAAAGCTCATGAAGGACAAACTGCAGTGGCGGTGTCAAAAATGGTTTTAGTTGTAATTCTATAAATGTAATATTTGTTGTCTGTCATTGTAGCTGGGATAATTTTACTTATTAAATGTTCTGATGCATCTCAGTAATCCAGGTAAAAAATCTAAAAAAAATTGTATAGGTCTTCTGGACGGGTTCTTCTCTAATGAAATGTTTCGTCTCTCCTCCAAGAGACTTCTTCAGTCTGAGAGTTTCAGGCAAAATTCAGGCTTTTAAGTCCTGCCTCCATGTGACTCACATCACATGGCTATCGTTGACACCTAATTAACACCTATTGTTAACAGGGGTGGAGTGATACTGGCAATAGTAGCGCTGTAGGAGGGGGACAAC